AGGGTAAGGATTACAATTGCTTAGTGGCATTTGCTGTAGTTCTCCTGGGAAGAGAAGCAAGAGGGAGGAGGAGAAGGTAAAAAAGAAAAAAAAAAAAAAAAAAAAAAGGCAAGCCAGCACACCACCCAGAGTTGGGCAAGCTCCACAGGGCACAGCCACGTGCCTGGAGCACACAGTCCTGCAGGCTGGCAGCCAGGGCTTCCAGGGCTCCCACGAGAGCTGGGGGGGCTGGGCACAGAGACAGTGGCTGTTTCCACACTGGTCGAACAGGAGTTGCTAACCCAGAAGCAAAGTTGCTGGGTTAACATCAGGGAAGTGATTTGTCCTAACCCAGAAGGAAGAGAAAGGTCAGGTCTGCTGGAGAGAATAAGTATTAGGCATGCTGGAAAAAGGAAAAAAAGAAAGAAAAGCATGCCCTATTTTTGCAGAGGAAAGAGAACTGGATGAACAAATCCCCAGATAGAATGGAGAACAGGGGCTGGGAACCCAGGCATTCTTTCCCCTCCTCCCAGGTAGTTGCCCTCACAGGGGACCCATGCACTGAGCATTTGCAGGACAGACAGCATGTCATCCTCTGCCTCGGTTTTATCTTCTTGAATCCTGCTAAAGCCCCATGAGGGAGAACAGACTGTTTATAATCTCTATTCTATTGATGAGCCAACTGCAGTTTAAAGAGGTTAGGAAATTGACACCAAGTTACATGACAAGCCAATGGCAGGTCCAGAATGAAAAACCAAGCCCCAAGGTTCAGAGCCTGCACTCCTACCCATCAAATGGCCTTGCTCTCCATACCTATCCCAAAGCACCCCTTGCCACAGGCGAGAGATTGCCATCCAGGGAATGAGAGCAACACGGCAAAGCCAAGAGAACAGGCAAGCCCATCCTCTGTGGGGCTTGGTGGAGAAGATAAAGAATCCTAAAAAGCAGAAAATAGGCTGCCTAACTCTAGAACAAAGTGGAGTCCCGCCCCTGCATGATCCCCTTGATCCTGATAAAAAGGAGGCAGTTCCAAGAGACCAGAGGTGCTGTGCATGAGAAGGATCAATTATCAGCCACAGCATGCCAATCTGAGGACATGCCTATGCTCGATGGGAAGATAGGGGGCACTTCTGCCCTTCAGGGGAGCTCCATCTCATGATATTTGGAAAAGCAAGAGAGTCCTCTTGCCTCAGCAGGACCTCCTATTATCCCAGACCCATTAGCAGAGCTCCCCCCACCACTACGTAGAGCCCATGAGTAGCACAACCTTTGTCACAAAGGATGGTCAGCATCTGTACTGCAGAGGTATAGCAGGGCTTCCCCAAACCCTTCTCTTATGCCACCCACTTAAGCCCTCTACCCACACACGACCACACAGAAAGGCTTCCACTTGACTCTATACCAAGCCTTCACCATTACCCCGTCTCTGCACTCACAACTGAAAAGAGAACTTTCCTAATTCTTAGTGGACTTGGGGCCTAAAAGCGGTAGGACACCCCCAAGCTATTCAAAGAAAAACCACCAGAGGAAACAGTTTCAAATCTAGCTTTACACAAGCATGGAGTTTAAAAATAACTCTGCCTTTGTCTGCTTTAGATGACTTTCCCTAAAGGGACAGCTGTCCTTAAAGCAATCGCTCAATTCTCAGGACAAACATGTTTTTATTTTCCCTAATACCTAGCACATACCTCCAGAAGCCCATCCCCACATACCACCTATGATTCCATCTGAAATGCAAACATTGAAGGCTTCAGGATGATTCTTGTCATCCTTACTGACCTGGCCACATCCAGGATGCTGCATTTCAGATGACTTGAAGACCCTGCAGGTAACTACATCATCCGAGAACCACCACCCTTCCCTTTATTGAGGGGACAGCTCAGAAAACATGGTAGCTGCATCATTGCCAAATCAGATGTTCATGGATCCCTAGAGTATTTCTTCAGATATTTGATTCACTCTTTGATCAGAGAAATATGGTTGGGGTGGACGAAATAGGAAAGGAGGCTGAGGCCCCGAGGAGTCATGGTACATAGTTCTGAGAATTCACAAGAATGCTCACCTTGTCACTCCAAGATACCCATGGGGTGGATTTCGTAATCCATAATTTGTCTGTTTATGGCTTTATTTCCTTTCCACCAGACAGTACTAACGACACAATGCAACTGAGCATAACTCAAAAGATGCTCACGGAGTACACAGCTGAAAACAAATGTTTAGTAAATTGCTCTGCAATTATCTCCTGATTAGCTTGATGACTTCACATTTTATCAACTTGAAGTGTTTAACACCGTTCTTTTTAATACTCTATCTCTTCTTGGCAACCTACTGTCTCCTGACCTTCCCAAAAGTTTTGTCATAAAATATTTTGGAAGGTAGAAAACATCAGGGCCCTTAATTAAGTCTAAGTGTTGCCAAGTTGAAGGTCTAGACCATTGGCTTTCAACTGGGAGTGATTTTATCCCCCAGGGGACATTTGGAAGTGACTAGAGACATCCTTACTTGTCACAGCTGGAGGATAGGAGCTATGGGCATGTGGGGGGTAGAGGCAGGGATGTCACTAAACATCCTGCACTGCACAGGATGATGTCCCAAAGACTTAACCTAAAATGTTAGTAGTACCAAGATTGAGAACTCCTGACTGAGAATGAAATTACACAGTTCCCAGAATGTTCAAGGCTACATCTGTGTTCTTCCCTTCTGAGGACTCATTTTCCTCAAGATTCACTTGGTACTTCTATTCTGGTCATTCCTGTGAGCTACACAGAATAATCAAGAACATTCTCCATTTTCAGACTGGCTTCTGATACACATCCACCAAGCCCACATCCCCTAGAGTTTCATTTTACATTATAATCTTTATAAGGGCCAACATTATATGAACAGCAGAGTGTGGTTTTTATCTGTTTGGCATTTGAAGAAGAGCTTTAACTTTTTCTCTCTTCTGTTAGGACTCTCATTGAGTTTTCAATCCAAAAAAGAAAACTTTTCTTGAAGAGCATTTCCACTATCTCTAAAAAGATACTGAAATAAAGAGCTTATTTCCAGAGATTCAGTGTGTGTACCTTTCTACTATAAAGTGACAAAAGGACACCCACAGGGGCTCAGGAGCTCTTTGCTGTGGATCGCAACTCTGACTGGGACAGCCCAAACTGCTGCAAGTCATTGATTGATATAAACTCCTAACAAGCTCTGGAAAATGACTCAAGTATCAAATTCCAAAATCCTGATTTTTTGACTCTCAATAAGACAGTCCAAAAGCTACTGGGCAAAATCTGACACTTCCCTCCAGAGGAAGGATGTACACTCTACCTAATGACTTTAAGAAGGTATTTCAGAAGATGAGGATTAGAATAAATGGTTAAAGCTGATACAGCTATAACAAGGACGGCAATCCCCCTCCCAATAATGGGACCCCAGTGCAAGTCATCAGACACTTTATGCACCTGACCTTGTAATTCTCACAACAACCCCATCAAATAAAAATTATACCCTTTGACACTAAGGGCAACTGAGTCTCCAAGAGGCCATGCCATTTGCTAAGGTCAAACATGTTTGAAGTAGCAAAGGTCTCACTGCACAGCAGAGTGACTTGAGCTCCAACACGTGTGACCCCTGGGGCTCGGCTTCCTTCTCCCAGCCGTCTTTCCTCTTGGAAGAGTTATGCATTTTGCTGGTTGTCTGTTCCCAGGAAGAAACTGAAGAGAGTAGCACTAGACATTCTATGCAGAAGGGGTCCCAGTTCCCTTAAAGGAGTGTTTGCTCAGGTTCCTGCAGCCTCCAGGGTTGATGGGAGGTTAAGACTTTGTTCCATTCCAGCCAGTGGCCTAGAGTTATCCTTCAAAGTGGGTTTTGGAGAAGGGACAAGAGGGATTTGAAAGGCCAGATATATTTAAAAGGGTGAACTTGAACTTCAATACTAATGTATCAAGGCACAGGTATTCTCTTCCTCCTTCACCTCATTTCCTTCCACTTAAATCTCACTCCGCATGTCACAGAAATGTCTGCATGAGTTGAGGACATGGAGTTCAGTAACAATCTCCTACACAAGTCTCACATTGTCCTGCTTTTTGTCTTCCCCTGCAGGGAAGGCCCTCTGCTTGGTGACCTTCCTGTCAATTAATCAGGCTGAATCCTTGTTCCTGGTTACCTGGGCACATGAAATGATCTTTCTTCCTGTTCCCTTTGTACTATGGGGTGCTAAAGGCATGAATCCAGAGTTGCCTCAATCTGTGTTTAATCTCTGTGCACTTAGCAATGGATTTTAAAGCACTAGCCCTCTTCAGGTATTTTTGTGGTATTTTTGTGTAATATTTCAACATCATTTACAGCTGACTTTGCAGCCTTGTGGGCTTTGATACAGATGGACTCTGATGGACAAATGAAAATAAAAACAAAATGTAAGAACAGTTTGGTTCACAGAAATGGCAATGGGTGAGAGAAGGAAGAGGCTAAACCTCAGTTAATATGACACCTGCTTTTAGAGTTGATTCTTCAGTGACAAAACAAGATGAATGAAAAAAAAAAAAAAAACCTGACCTACCTCTATTCACATGTCTGCACTTCAGGCAATAGAAGAATAAACAGAGATAAACCAAGCCTTATAAAATATCTACCCGAACCATGCAGCAAAATCCTATTAGCTATGTGTTTGGGAAATGGGGAAAAGAAATAGGAGATTAGATGCTTAAATTATCCCTGCCATTATCTGCAGGAGGGTATAGTTTATTCTGCTATTCCTAGGATCAGTTTCCCATGGGAAACTAGCTAAAATACATATTTCTGGGCCCTTACCCCAGACCTGAAAAAAAAAAAACCAAAATTTCCAGGGGTAGGTCTGCAGAGTGCATTCAACTGACTCTCCAGGTGAGTGGCACAGATGCTCACTGCAGTGGAAGAGCCTCTGCTGTGGGTGGAACGTGCTGAAACCTAGGAGTGTCGGGACAGTGGTGCCACCTCCCTCCAACCCCTCCCCTTCACTCTCCTCCCCATTAGAGTGAGAGTCTTCCCAGAGAGTTTACCTGGTCTGATGGGACTCTGCATACAGTTCGGAGATGGGATGCCAGGGTGAATGGGTGCTGAGGCCCGGCTGCTGAGGTCCATGACCGACTGGGCGGCTGAGGAAGCCGGCTGCAGCCCAGGAGGGTGAGGGCTGTGGTCATGCTGGGACGGGCTGGGGGGAATGCCATTTTCTGACAAAAACTCCTCCAGGTCCATGTATTCCAACTGGAAAGTATCTCCGTCGTACGGAAGGGTTTTGTCCCATAAGGTGGGTCCCAAAAATGCTGACTGGGGGACCGTCGGGCTGTTGCTCTCATCATCCAGCTTCTTTTCCTTGTCTTTATCTTTACTAAATGCTGCAGAAGAAGGGAAAATTGGGATTAAAAGAAGAAGAAAGAAAAGTCGCTCTGACCACCCTGTCTGTTACAAAAAGCACTCAGGAGCACCAGGGTCTGCTGGCTGCTGTTTTGTGGATTTAGAGTTAAAAGTTCAGGCAGGACATGGATCTCTGCCTGTTTTTTAACATTCTTCCTATTTACTTTGGAAAGAAAGCACTGTCAGTAGGACAGGGCTACAGGCTGATCTGGGATAAAAACAAGAGAACAGTCTTCAGTGATTATTTGAGGAGATAAATTATTGAAATCTATGAAGTGAGAAAATAGCACCTGGGATTACATACAATGGATGTGATTTTTAAGAAAATCACCAAAAACCTGGCTTGACTTATCTTTCCGAAATTTATCACAGAAACAATATGAGGTCGCAGAGACTTACAAAGCCAGTGTGTTGGTGCTCTTAATCTTAGTAAAGCAGAGACTCTCCACCCTTTTCTAATACTTTGTATCCAGTACCTACTCTTCTTTGAAAGCCACTGGGCACATAGTATCTACTGCTGCTTTGAAAGCTGCAAGGGCACCATTGTTTTTTGTTGTTTTGTTTTACAAAAGGAGTAAATAAAAAGTCTTTTCTTCTTTCTCTTCCTCAAACACTTAAGTATTATCCAAGTCACAAAAATGATACATCTATGCAAACGTCAAAAGCTAGGCTATTGGAAAAAGTGAGTTATTCTACATACCTCTGATAGAATTGTGCAGCTATTTTGTACATGGAAATACTGCTTGCTAGATTAGGTCCTTAACAGGCGCTCTAGATTTTGCCAATTCTAGTACTCAGGAGTGGGTGGAACTGGGATTAAGGAATTTGCTTCTGGGTTTTTAGCTCACAGAAACACAGCCTCCATTCTAGCTCTCTACAGTCTCATCTGAGAATCTGGTTTAAAACACCCACAGAAGCAAAAGCCTGCAGCCAGACCCTTCCTCCAAAGTGCTATTCCGTAAGAGAAGAGGTAGGGAATGGTCTGTAGACCACAACCAAACACCCCAGCTCTTGCAATGCAACAGGTTGTCCCCTCCCAGAAAAGATGTGAATACTCTGAAGCTATGTGCAGCTCAATAATGTTTCAAGACTTTATGCATGAGCTGCACGATTCGCATTTGTTACTGTGAAATCAGAAGCATGAAACCGCACTGGCCCAATGACAAATCCCTGGGGGCATCAGTGGGGTTCCAGGCCTCCTCTCATCTACGTACCCCTCCTCTAGCGCTACAGCCAAGGTTGTCTAGGGAAAGTTGGGGACTTACCACGAAAGGGCTCAGGCCAGAGGAGGCTCCTGCGCGATTACACGTGAGCCTGCTCCGTTCTCTCCTCCCACCAGGAAAAGTGCACCGGCAAAGTGTCAGCGCTGGAGGCGTGCACGGCTTCCAGCCGAGAGACCACTCCCCCCACCAGCCCCCACCCCGCTGTTTCAATTACCCTTCAGCGGAAGAAAATGCGTCTCCACTCACACCTCCTCGAGTTTTAAATACTAAACAACAACAGAAGCAGTAACACAATTCCAATACTCAGGCTACGCCCTTGAAGACCCTCTCAACTGGAGCCTCCAACCCCTACTAGGCCCCCAATATCTCCTCCCCAACCGTGGAGGCTCTGTCCTCCCGCAGGCGGTTCCACTCTCGTTATTCTAAGCACCAATCCTGACCTGTCAAGTTTATCTCCCACCTGCGCTGCGCGAGCTGGTCCCCGTGGATGCTGGGCCAGGTCCCCAGCGCTATTGTAAATGTTGGTCAGGAGAGATCACCTCTTTTTATTGAGGAGGATGGGAGATGGGTGAGCTCCTTAATTTCCACAAAGCGAGGCTGGAGAGCTGGTGGGTCAGGGAAGGAAGGGGAGAGATGCTTCAGCCGGCCAACCGGGTGCCTGGCCAAGGAGGGGGACCCCCGGGAGCGTGGTCCCTCCCCAGAGCGGGACAGCCCGGATGGAAGAAGCGGCGGCGGCCGCTGCAGCGCTCACCGTCTTCGTGATGAAGGGGGAGCTTCAGCGGGTTCTCCAGCAGAGACCTGAGCACGCCGTAGGGAGGCGGGATAAAGGTGGGGTTCAGGGGGAGCTGTCGGGACATTTTCTCCATCGCGAAGCACTCAGTTTTTTTTTTTTCTTTCAAAAAGAAAGACAATCACCCCCCGAAATATTGCTGAGCTTTTCCTCCGTTCTTTGCCAAAGAACTCGCTTTCAAAGCGGTGGAGAGACACGGGAAGAAAAAAAAAATACTTATATCTTTATAAATACATCTGCATAAAAATATTTCTTTAAAAAAATCAAAAACAACTTTGGGGTTCTGCGTGCAGACAGTCCCAGGAGGGCGCGCCAAGTGCCCGCGGGCTCCACGGCGACGCGCAGGATGCTCTCACCTGCCTTGAACCCCTCGTCTTGCAAAAATGTTCAAAATTGCAAAATAGAAAGAAAAAATATAGAGAGAGACGGCTGCAGAAGGACAGAAGGCACCAACCCGTCCCTAGCCCCCAGTGCGAGCACCCGCGGCGCCGCGCCGTCCCACCCCACCCCCCTCCCCGCGCCTGCAGCCGCTGCTCCCCGCGCTCCGCGGCCCAGCAGCGCCGGGTTCAGCGCATCCGGCAGCCCATGTGCCGCGGCCCTGACAAGAGTGACGTCAGGGCCCGCACCGCGCGCCGATAGGCGTGCAGGGGCGGGGCCCCGAGGGGCACCACCTACCGGCTCCGCCCAGCCGCTCCAGAGTGTTTAGCATCGGCGCGCGCGCTGATTTTCCAAGACTTTGCTGCACTGGCGGGCGGCGTTCAGAGAATTCCTGGGTCCCTGACCTGGGCTCAGCATGTTTTTTTTTTTTTTTTTTTGGTCAGAGTGGAAAGAGAAATTAGGAATTTATATTAGTAGTTTGCAACCTGGAAATAAATTTTGGAGTTAAAAAAAAAACTCCTATACCCAGGCAACACCCAGGATTCATTAAATTAGACCCTCTGGGGTGATATCCAGACATTAATTGTTTTGAAAGCTTCCCAAGTAGTTCTAAGGGGCAGTCAACTTTGGGAAAGACTAGATGGAATTAAAGGTAAAGACTTATAAATATTTCTCCTGGACCCAGCCAAGCTTAGCACCTTCTTTCTTGCTCTGCTCCCATAACCACCCCAAATTACTTCCTTGAAGTCAGAATAGGGTGCAAAAAGTAGAATGGAAAGGAGAGCGACGGAATGAACTGCTGTCAACTGTCTCATGCCTTCCGAGGTATTAAATGAGATATTGGCCTGAAATGGCGTGAGGGACAGAGAGGGACATATGCACTGCGTTCAGATTTTAGGAATGTTTGCAGGACCCAGTACAGCTCTGCTTGGGTCAAGTTACAAGATCTTCACAGTAAATAAAATGATTTTGCTAAATATTTCTTAAGGGTGTCTCGGTGTTCTCAGCTGTAAGGGCAGCAGCAGCGCCTCCCTCCCGGTTTGACCCCAGCGTGAGTTGTCCCCGCCCAAACCTCGCATGCCCCGCCTGGTGTGGTGTGGAATTCCTGCATTGGGACGCGCAGCGCGTTGACCTCCAGCCTCACCGCCATGGAGAGCCACGGACCTGCAAAAGGGTTCATGTCTCGCTCCCTATATCGCCTAAGAAGAGGATCACTTGATCTGGGGAAGGTTCTGCAAGAATGAATGAGCACAGGTTAAAGAAAACCTGATTTCAGCGAGGCATGAAGTCTTTGGGAGCCTAGGCTGATGCATCCTGGACTAGGGTGAGAGGTCCAGTCTTAGTAGGATTAATTTCCATGCTGTCCAAAGCCAAGAGACCAAAAGGGCCACCAGAGGAGTCCAGCTGAGCGGCAGGTTTCTCATAGAGAGACATATGATCTAGTGACCTTTACCTTTTCTCATTCTCAAATCATGACAAAGGGGTAATATTAACATTCCAAGTGAGAAGCTGTTGCAATGTTTCAAATTCTAGAAACATTAGACTTTTAGTTAACTGCACATGTATTTATTGAACAGCCCTGTGTGACAGTGACTATGCTGGGACTGACTAGATAAAGATGAATGAAATAATTCTAATTCAAAGTTTAGGGTCTAGCATATAAGCAAACCTTATGATATAGACTTAAAATACTAGGTGCAGGTAACATGAGAACATTTTTTTTTTTTTTGATGAAGAATGAGAAGTGTCTGACCTGGGCTTGCTAAGGGTCTTTCGTGAATTTTCCAAATCCTTCCATGGTTATCCTGTTTTTCATGCAAGAAGGGAGTTTTCCACTATCCTTTGGAGAGAAGGAGGGCATCTCCCTAACATCTCCCCATAACTCATAAACTATAATAGCAGAAAGCAACCTCTCAGCCTGGTTAGAAATAGATTACAGGTTCCATGTGCACAAAAGGAGGCACAATCTAGGCTTCCTGTAACAGTCCACTTTCATTGCTCAGCACACTCAAAATGTACCCCCACTCATGGCTCTAGGAGCTTGTCCTTGCCCCACCCCCATGCCATTTCCAGACACAGAGCCCCTTTGCAGCTTAGGGTATCTGTTTTCCCACTACCTGAGAGCCTGGCACTCTGGCCTGGAAATTACATTTATTATTGCAAGTGGATGAACTGTCACTGGGGTCTCTTGGGAATTTGATTGATATAATTCAATTCCTCTGAGCCTGGTCAACTCTGGATATGGACCTTCTTGACTCCCTCTCCCTTCTCTCTAGCTCAGCCTTCTCAAGGGTTTTTGCTACTTATATTTATAACTAGTATAAGCATTGACTAGTTCTCAAATTAACTCCATTCCTTAAGATAAATGAAAGTGGTACATCTTTCCTATTTTGTTTAGATGGCAATTTATAAATTTTAGTTTTCATTAAGCTATGAGTGTGCATCTCACCAGCCCCCTTCCCTGTCTTCCCCACAAGTGCAGAAGGCTGCCCAGGTAAAAAGAAAATAGGCTATAGTAGAAACCAAAAGTTATATTGGATATAAAGGTTATACCAAAGGTTATATTATTCCTAATGTTAGATAGGAACATTACTTTGTGCTTTATAAGAGAATGGACTCCCTTGGGCTAATTTTTAAATGGACATATCTCTATAAATCAGCATGAAACTCAACCTGCACCTATGCCCAGAGATAGAAGCCCCTCACAAATGCTTAGCACATGGCCATTTACAAAGCCCCTCCACAAGTGTGTGATTAGTCCCAATCATTCCATGAAGAAAGCAACGATTTCTATTGTTAAGTGACAGTTCTCTCCAAAACCTAATGGCTTAAAACAACAACCCTTTTATTATTTCTCATCCTGGACTGGGCTTTGTTCTTCTGGGACTCAGACGTGGCTGGCCTCTTTCACGGCATGGCCTTTCCACATGGCCTTCTTCCATGGTCTTTCCATGTGTTTGATTCAGCAGGCTGGACAGAATTCCTTACACAGCATCTCAGGGCTGCCAAGAGCCTGCAATCCAGGATAAGTCCCACCATGCAGTCCTCAGCCAGCCTCTGCTGAAAAAGGACTAGACAGGGCATGGGAGTTGGATGGCATAGTTCATTGGGCATCACCAAAGTAACTACCTTAGCCATTCAGTTATTTTATCTTCATATGAAGGCAAATGATATTAGATAATTTACTGAACACTACTAGAGCAAGATCTTCTGACCATAAATAAGTCCCATGTGTCACTGGTTGAAAATATGTCCACTTATTCATTCAGTGTTCTTTCAAAACAAATATGTGTACACCTCTGAGTGGGATGCAAAGATAAATCAGATACAGCAAGACATGGTGTCAGAGGGGAGCCCACACTCTGGGTGTGGATGTACCATGTGTGACTAATATAATGTTGAAAGTGATGTTCTAAGAGGAACACAAAGAGTACTGGAGAGATGGGTAATATAAAGAGATTTGCTTAGAGAAGATCTTTTAGAGATGTCTACCAGTTTGCTTTCTCTGTGTCCTTCCTTACCCATGCAGGTCACTTCAGGAGTGCCTCTTTATCCCATCCCTATTCCTGAGTCCTATACTAATGCTGTGCATCTTTAGCACCCCGGTTTGAAGAACTGTGCCAATTGCCCTTCTTTAGAGCATTCAGCTGACTTTTCAAAGAAGGAGGAATACACATGTGCAGAGGCTCCACACATGTGTGGAGCCTAAAAATAGGACTGACCATAGAAAGAGAGGTTTCTCAGAATCAATTTCTTAAAAGATGCCATGCCAGATGTGTGGGCCCTTCTCTGTTCTGAAGTTCTGGACATCAACCTCTTGCTCAGCCAGTGGTTTCTACCTGTCCTGCCATTTTGGGAGATTTAATGATAAGGTTAGGTAGCGAGGTCTTTTTGCAGCCTGGTAAGGGGCAGATGTGAGGCAGTCATCTTGGCACTGGCTCTGTGGGATGCAGTGTCCATGTTTCAGATCCCCCAGTGGGCGTGAGACCAAGTTCAGCACACAGAGCCGGAACAAGGACCTGTCATCATCTCTTTGGGGGCCGGGAGCTTGGGGTAGATGCAGGTGAGCATTGGGATTCTGAAGGGCTTTGTACACCACTGAGCCAAAGCTCTTGATGAACCTGTTTGTCCTGTTGCCAGAAGGGTACTTGATCCCCGAATTAATTCAGAAGTGAAATGCATCCTTATGCCTACGCCTGGCTGGTGACTTCTCTTCTTCCTGAACTCTTTAACTCAGCTAAAATACAAAAGGAAAATGAGATTTCATTAGTGTAACTAAGGAAGACTTTCAAACCTATTCTCTGGGTGTAGGAACATGCAAACCAGAAACAAACAAGCAAACAAAAACAATATTAAAATGTTTGTTGGGAAGTTAAACTCTGTTTTAAAGAATGGCCCATGTAAAGGATCGTGGGTAGGCTTCCCTACCCCTTCCTTACATTCTATATTGCTCTGGTAAATTTGAGTGGCAAAGACTTAAGATAGGTAGGATGTACTGCCCCAGTCATGTATATGTATTTATAATCAGGGAATAGTCAGATTTACATATAAGCGATAGGAAAGAAGGTGAGGGGCAACTTGTGTAAAACAGTAAGAAAGAAAAGAAGGATATGCGTGGCAAAGGGAGAGGGAGAAAGAAATCAGTGCAATGTATTTTAGCAGAGTGAGCAGGATTATGGGCCAGACACACCTGTGTACCTGCTGCTACTGCTACTACTGCTATAAATATTAACGACATAAAGAAGGAGACAAAGGCCTATTTGTTATGTGCTTAACCGTGTTCTGGCACAGCATCAAACTTTTTATATATTATTTATTACTTGCATCGGCAATGTGGAGTGTGTATATAGCATTTTTATCTCTGCCTTACAGATGAGGCCCAGAGACAGGAGTGACTTGCATGTCCCTATGCCTAGCTGAGACCCAGACAAGCTATGAGTTGAAAGTAACTCTGTTTGACTCCAAGGCTTGTGCTCTTAACCTCCACCCAGTAAATGAGTGACAAACATCGATTCAGTAGACTTACTGGATTTCCAGCGGATTCAAATTCTGCCTCTGTCTTGTGATCTTGGATGACCTCTCTGATCTCTTGTTGTCTTTGTGTG